TTAACGGCGCCGTCTTAAGTCTCTTTGCAGCATGGCTGTCCCCGACTATCGTTGCCATTGCGCGCATGGGAATCGCGGATACGCATGCTACGGTAGTTGGATGGTGGTCCATCTTAGCCCAGCCCAAATCTGCCATCGCGGCCACGCGTGTGCGGTCCAGGAACATCCCGTCAGCTGAAGGGAAACCCTTGGGCAAAAGAAACTCGGCGCGAACATGGGCTGACAGTCGGCCGTCGGGCATTGGGCGCCATTTGGGATGGACGGATAAGCTGGAGGCGGCGACCTTTGAGTGCGACCGAAGGACGAAATTGGAGCTGCTCGCCTCACCTGTTCTCTGGCGCAGTGTCCGATGAGCCGTGACAGGGGCGACGGCAAAGGCAGGGAATCTGCCTGCGCTTTCGCAAGAACTGAGCCAGTGGGAAAAAACCGGGGGGCTGGGGACGCTGGTGGATGTGTGGTCACTGGTGTGTGCCAGAGCCGTGTCCGTGGCCGCCGCGCCGCGACATGGTTCTGGATGTGGGAAGAGCCAGCCCCGGCCGGAGTGGGAGAGCAAACGCAGGAAACAAGACCGGGCAGGCTGACTTTCCACCATTGAGTTGGCCTGTCTCGACTGAACTTACCTTGGCCCGACCGCAGCCGCGAAGATGGCTGCAGCCAGTCTCGCGGAGTCATGACATGTTCCTGAGCCGACGAAGTAAGGGGCAGGCGGTGAGAGGTGCTGAGAGAGCAAGAGATGGAACGAAAGTGAATGTGAAGAAAAGGTGTGTGTGAGTCTGAGTTGTCACTGCGTCAGGTCGTGACGAAACCCACTCCCCATTGCCAATCACCCGCAGTCTGGCGTCCCCCTTCTTCAGCGATCCCGATGGGCCGGTGTGCACCCAGGAGTCCCCCGTCTGGAGCGCTAGCCGGGAGGAGTACAGAGGCTGGTGCCATTCAGCGGGTTGGGTGAGAGGGGAGGTCATAGGTATCTGATCTTGGAGCAGAGCAGGTCCCTGGGTCGATATGGGATCAGCTGCTACGGATAAAAGTTCGTATTTTTCCTGGTTAAGGAAGTAGTCACCTCCTCCTCCTCTATGACTGAAAAACTCAGTAAATCGTCTCAGTAGGGCGCGGGCGGTCATCAGCAAAGTTCGTTTGGAAGATGGGGTGCAGCGCGGCCTGCATAAGGCGTTCGTCCGTCTGTTGCGCTTGTGCTTTACAAGGCACATGCATTGAAACATGAATCGAACCTGGGAGAAAAAGCGAAGACGTCGAACGGAGATGTCGAAGGAAGAAGAGCCGAGTTCTTTCAGCTTTGAAGGTCAAGGCGAGGGCTGAGTTGGGTTGCATGGAATCATCTCAGGAAGGAGGGGACATGATTGACCCCTTCCAAAGTTCCAAGCTCACCTCACTCATGGAAGCTGCAGCACAGGCCACCTCCAGCCTCAACTTGGATTTGGTAAGCCTGGACTTGCCTGCCACATCTGATTGACTGGCTGACCTGCTGGCTGAGGTGGTGCAGCCAGGCCAAGGAGGTGAGGGCCCGTGCTCCAGAGGAATCAAACTTGGAAAGAACGGGTCGCTCCCGAAGACGGCCCCCTGTTCCTGGACTTGCCTCCCAAGCCAATCACGGCCGCCGTTGAGCCACACTGTCGATTAAGCTCGCAGTCAACCGCGTGTGCCTGAACCACCACCTCTACCTTTCTGCTGGGGCATTTGCCAATCTTCGACAGAACGTGATGCAACGCCTCAACGAAACATTGCAAACAACGTTTTTGGGGGCTACTTTCTTGGGGGCCAGAGAAAACGACAAAGATGTCGACGGATCCATGTCAAATACTCCCCAATCTTCAATCTTGGGCTCAGAGATTGGGTCCTGCCGTCTGGGACCATCCCTTCTCGGCGCATCTCGTCGAAATTCCGCCGTGAGCACATGCAAAGTCCTTGCTCAATGGATCGAGCGAGAAAATCTTTCGATCCAAAAATTGGCATCCATCTCGAGCTCCGAGACGACCCTGTTGCGAATCGTCCGATCTGACCAGAGTAGTCAGGTACAGCATTCTTCCACCGCTGAACCTGCCATCAAACGCAAACGCATTCAGCCCGACGAAGCTGAAAACTTTGGAGACTTCGGAGCACGTACCGCCATGGTTAACACGATCGGCGATCTTCTTCAGCCCTCTCCCACGAGGCATCCCGCAGTGGTATGAGAGGGCAACGCGCGTTGATGGCTGCCGAGCGTGGACCTTGATATCCAGCCCAAATCGGCATGTGCGAGAACCTGCGCGGGCCGCGAGCCATTCGGAGAGCCTCCCACGACCGCAGCCCGCGATCCCGCGCCGCAGTACACTCCGGGTCGAGTCGGATGCTGCCTGACATCTCCCTTCGCAACGGCCAATTGGGGTTTTCCGAGTCGACAGGCTGAGTTTTGGTGCATTCGAAACAAGTAAACGAAGGCTGCTATCAAGGGATTGCAGGGAGAGACTGGGAGCTTAAACCCAGGGGACCTGCAAGAACCCTGGACAGGGGTCCACGATGCTCCCTAAAAAGCCCTCAAGAGAACACAAGGATACAATTGACCCTGATCAGGGGCTCAAGGGTCACCAAGGGTCACGGAGTTCCAGATGCGTGCAAGAAAAAGACGGGAAAGCTGCTTACCTCTTCGCAGACTCCCTTGCATGCGGCCGTTCTCCACAGTCTTACATCTTCGGGAGCCTACGAACACTACCTTAGAACAAAGATACATCCCTAGCTCGTGAAAGCTGACAAAATCCCCTCGGTATGCGAGGGACGATCATCCCCTGTTGATCGACAAGCTCTGTTGCCCCCCCATCGAATTGCCGAGTCGGGAAAATCCAGGAAACCGCCATCTCGCATGGGAAAGCTCTCGAACAAGGGACAGGAGCCTCTCAGTGTCCTGCCTGCACACCACCCTAGACTGAGACGATCTCCCGCATTCTGATGTCTAAGAATATGGCCAGTGGAGGGGTCTTTACTCACTGAGCGTCGAGCATCTGTCAAACATCCTCTGAAGATCAGATTTGCAGCGTCGGAAAATACTCCTACGCGACCTATGACATCAGTCGTTGGCGACATGCTACGGAACCCGCTTTCGACGGCAAGAGGCGTACGGCAAACGGCATGACGTACTTTGGCAAATTGCTGAGACTCCCGCTCCGGTCAAGGCTTTTTCCCGCCTGCAACATTTCATATGGGCGCCAGGCCTTCTCCGCCTCAGCCTGGTTTTCGCGCGGCACCCGCAATCCAACCGATCAACCCACACATCAATCAGCTGTTGTTACATCCGGTGGCTGCCGTTGCCCCAGCACGCCGCATGCCTACGGACCGCAGCAAACGGCAATGTCAAAACACACGGCCCGCAGAATAAGATTGTCGCCAAACAAACAGATTCAAGGGAACGTGCTTTTCGTCATTCAACGTTGTGGCCACTCTATGGCTGCCCATCCCCCAGCTGAAGCCCCAGAAAAGCAGAGCCACTGCCAAACGGCGATCTTTCCCTCAAATTCAGATCGATATCGTTTTGAGGCTTAGAAGGAGTATCCCGTACTGTCTTGTTGAGAGACTGCGAGATAAACCGACAGACCGTGGAAAGAGGTCCGCTGGTTGATTCTAAAGCTTCAGCACAAAGATCACGCCACGCAATATTGGCTGTTTCACTGTCTTTTCGAAAGTTCTGCTGTTTTGAAAACAGTTTACACAGGCAGAATGCGCAAACTTTCGCTTCAATCAGTTTTTGTCAGCTTTTTGTTTGCCTAGTTGCCTCTTTTTGGAGCCCGGCGTATGCTCTGGGCAATCTAGGCCGGCCTTCACAAGTCTGCGCCGGTAAACGAAGGTCGAGAAGGACCTCCAGCGTCGCAGTGGCGCCACCGACTCGGATGGCAGAGTGCAGTCGCCGTGGAGGTGAGACATCGACAAGCTTTGCACATTCCAGTCACTGGCTTCCACATGAAGAGTTTTCTTCCCGACTTCCCGCCGGCCCCCAATGCAGCCTCGAGTCAAGCGGCAACAAACTGCAGAGGACCGGTACTGTTCATTCGTTGAAGAGGGCACCCGGTTATCCGGCGGACGGAAGATTCGAACAATCAAGGAGGCGGGTAAGAGATCAAGTGATTGAGGCTCCGCAAACCAAGCCCCGCCTCCTGCCTCTTCCTTGCGAAGCTGAAGCTAGCATGGGTTTCCATCGTCAAGCAGGCCTCCGGATGGGGCAATCGCGATAGCCTCTCTCGAAAAGGATCGATCCTTTTCAAAAGAGTTTCCATTCATCACAAACGACGAACCAACGAGAGTTGTCGAAAGCGCTTTTGTTCCCACGTTATGGAAACTCGAGCAATCCAGCGACCCAAGTCATGCCTTTTTCAGACAGTTGTGCATTCCGTCGAGTCGGAAGTCAGCGTGCCATTCCCTGGAGCCGTCGAGGCCCCCCTCTCAGCTTCCGATGCCCACCGAGCTCCGTATCAAGTACACCGGTAAGCAGTCCGGACTGGCAAACGCACCTGATTGGCCCCGCCGCCTTCCGTCACCGAGCATGCATATCGCACGAGGGATAGAACACCAAGCGAGGAATGTCTGAGAATTGCAGGGGATGGTCTGGTTGTCATAATCAGCCACCAAGTGGACCAAGAGCCCTCGACGAGACCCAGTGGATCAGTCTCCTGCATATTTGTCTCTTGTTGTTGTTCGCCGTTGGGTGGAAGGCGTACGATTCGTGCTGATGGCAGACCGTGACAGAGGAGGCATACATAAAGTTTGTTTGTGGCAGGGAGACAGCCGCTGCCGGATTGTGCATATATCGTTGCCTCCCCGTCCGTCCCCCTCGCGTCCTCCGGCCAATATCTCCATCGTGGCGTCGTTATCCAGAGAGCTTGCAACAGCAGTGAACCAAGCCGTCGTTGCAGACGTCGGTCGCAGTCATGTCTTGTGTCCCCCCTGAGGACATGATTGGGTATGCACAGGAACTCGACATGACAAGAGCCTCTTTTTCCTCTTCCAGACCTGCGAGTATGGAACGACAGACCAAACTCGCTCATCTCAAGCTCGTATCAAAGTATTACGGCTACGCAAATTTCTCATATCCCCGACCAGACGGCACTCCAAGTCGCAACCCCTACCGAAGAGCCGGACAGACGTACTCCTCGGAGGATCTCAGCCAGGAAGAGTACGACGAACCGTCCTGTCCCCAAACACCAACCCGTCGAGACCGCTCATCTATCGGCTCGCAAAGCTCAGACGGGTCCTCTGCACCCAGCCTCATTGACGACCGGACCGATTCGGAAGTCTCACTCGACGACGACTACCAGTACCACGCCTCCGCATCACAACTGTGGGACTCGTTCTGGCCTGCTGAGGAAGACCCAAGTCGGAAAACACCAGAGACGTCTAAGACGCAGTATCCTGCTTTGATTCCTTCACCGCATATCCGCCGAGCAAAGAAGACTGGCTGCATTAACTACGAAGACTACCCGTTACCTCCCCGGCCTGTTGAATACAACATCAAAGTCAACAACCCAGCCACTCCTAAAGATAACCTCATGAAGTCACCCCAGCCACGTCCAACAATGTCATCACCTCGAGCGCATGATGTCTCTCTTGCATCACCCTACTCTCCTCCGGAACCACGCCGCACAATTCGCGCCGTGCGCTCCTCATACAGCCTCTTTCCACGCACTCAACCACCACCATCCTATCCTCCTCCTCCCCCACCTCGCCTTGCACAACCGCCAAGCCTTTCGAACCTTCGTAAAGGCACACGACCACCTCCAATCCATCTGCACTCGCTGCCAGCACCTACTGTGGCACCAATGCACTCCCCAGCAACAGCATCTCTTTACTCGCCTCTCTACTCGCCCCTCTACTCCCCTGTGCCGTCATTTACCCGCCCTCACACATCCCACGGAACATATCCCGCGGATGCCATGTCCCCAACAGACTTGTCACATCCGCGCTCTGCTCCTCTTCCTCCGCCAATCCAAGTTCATAGCACCACTTCAGCACCCAAGAGCTTCTTCGACTTCGACTCGGACTCTGATTCAGATGATCCGGAGCCGGAGCACACGATCTCCCGATTCGTGAAGACGCTCCACAAGCGGACGGCCAGTGAGGCGAGGCGAAGCACCAAAGGCGCTGCTTCCGCGGATGCCCAGCTGCGCCGTGCCCGCGCAGACACGGCGGAGACAATCCGAGAACCCGAGGGACAGCAGCTCTTCATCGAGAGGCATAAGAAGGGCTTCGGCCGCATGTTTCGGGGCAGATCTCACGGAAACTGAAGCTGGATTCAGTGTTTCCAAAATTGTACGTTTACATCCATGTCTACACGACTACAATGTGGTACTATGAAAGGCCGCAGATGAGGTTGACGGCATCCACATGACGGCGCTTTTGCTGTTTCTTCATTCCGCGAGCACAGCGTTTTCACTTTCAGTCTTCTTTGTATCGTTGATTTTTGCTGCATTTCTTTTGTCTTATCATGTTTATGCTCATGCTCACGCCTGACGTTGTTATTATTATCTGATGTTACTCTACGATTCCGAAGAAGGGACGCGGGAAAGGTGTGTGTCGTTGGGGAAGAGACGCTAGCCGAAAGGACCCTGGAGTTTCTTCCCTGGCATTGCTGGAAAGCTTACACGGAAGGGATGGCCCTCTCAGGAGATTGAGGAATGACGGAGGGCGGGACAGGCAGGCTGAAAAATTCTACGACTCAGACACGAATGTTCGAAACGAGTACGAGGACGTCAACGGCAACGGCAAGAGATGAGAACATGCAAAAAAATGGTGAGAGAGATGATATGATGAAGGTACGGCAAGAGACGGAACTGGGACCTTTTTTTACGAAAGAAACACGGCCTTTGAGTGAAATGACACACAAACCTCACGATCATGCGAGAGGATGAGAAGACATCGATTAGAGGAAGAAATTTTACGTTTTGAAATGATGCATGATTGGTTTCCCCAGTGTTCAGTGTAGTGCAAATCAGACACAGAGTAATTACAACAATTACAAAACTTGTTCGTGTTTATCGTGATATGCGTAGGTTGATGGCGGCGGAATGGTCTGATCAGGCCAACGATTTACCTCTCTCACGATCGCGTCCCACTCGGGAGTTCCCTCCTGTGCATCGAAACATCGCCGTCAGGGGCCGATGGAGAGACTCTCAAGCGGGAAAGCATGGACGAGCAAAAGAGACAGAGGCTCAACGAGGTCGACCTCGCCACACCCCACAAGGCCCCCCCATTCCGCGCGCCCCTCCTACCCGACGGCCGTAAGTTAGGAAGTGAGGGCAAGTTGCCAGAGTAATTCCGATTCCGTCCCGTGAGGCATGTTCACCTGAACAGGGAGGCAACGTAACGTAGCGCAGCCGGGGGTCTAGACGGGGCTCCGTGGGAAGTTCCGTGAGTGGGAGGCATTCGAGATTTGGAAAAGAACCAAGGTTTCCAAGTTTTCCAAGTTTTTTCTTTCGAGTTTGTGCTAGGCGGGTAGTGTCTACACATACGTATGTAATCCGTAGCCTGTTTTTAAAGCGACTATTTTATATCCTACTCTCGCTTTCGTTATCGTTATTATTTATCATGGTCGTCGTCGTCGTCGTCGTTGTCGTTATCCTTATTACTACTCCTATCGTTCTCTCTATAATCACGAATCATAGGGAACACTGCCCGACGAGCAAAACTCCTTTCTTTCAATCTTCGTGGACTGGGCCGAAAAGGTGTTTAAACATTCTTTTTGTGTAGGTCTAGGCTCCCCCTTCCTCCGGTCTAGCGACCGCGCGAGGAAAAGGGGGAAGGCTTTCTAATAGCTAGGATGACACGACGGCAGCCTGGTGTCTAAACTGGACGATGTGAATACATGGGGGATATAAAAAAAACATGTTTGAAGCAACTCTTTGAACAGATAAATCATTGTACCCGTCGAAACATCGATATCGTATCGTAGACTCCGTGAAACTCGTGAAATAACTCCGGTCCTGGTGGACGAATGCTTTCCCAAATAACGCCTCTTCCTTTTTGACCTGGGTGTAGAACGCCGTTGTCCCATGCTAGTAGCTAAAACAGATGATATAGTTCGCGCGCATATGTACAGATCATGTTGTGTTTTTTGCGCAAGATGGGAGATGAGTAGGTTTGCTGTAAATCAGATAAATCGTCGCTTCTTTCGTCTCGTCGAAACAGGGGGCCATTAATGCATTATAAATGTCGGGAAAATTTCTTCATAGCCCGGCGCGGAGGGGCATCCTCTCGTGGAAAGACTTGCGCTCGGTGAACCGCTTCTGCCGCCTGACACCAAGACGGCGCTCGTCGCGGCCGGGCCAGTAGCCGAACATCCACGTGCTCTGCGCGGATGCGGGCCCGGCGCCGAGGCGGTCGCGCAAGTCGGACTTTGCGCGGGGCGGGGTGGGCGAGCGGAAGACGGGGTCGGCGGCGTTGTCCTCGTTGGCGAGGAAGGAGAAGATCTCGGCGGGACAGGTGACGGCGTGGGGGAGGCGGTAGTAGTTCCTGCCAAAAAGGAGGGAGACGAGGGCGCAGAGGTAGAGGGAGAGCAGGGCGAGGATGACGGCGAAGACGGGGACGACGGGGAACATGCGCACGCCGCCTTCGGGGACGGCGGTGAGGGCCATGAAGAGGGCGCCGGCCATGGCGGGGAGGAAGGCGAGGAGGGATGTGGTGAGGGAGATGGCGGCGACGCGGTAGTGGCGGTTGCGGAGGGCGTGGAGGGTGGTTTGGAGGGGGAGGCAGGCGGCGTAGTCTGCGAGGACGGAGCGGGAGGCGGGCGAGCCGTCCTTGGCGCCGAGGTCGGCCCAGGGCTGGAGGATGCGGAGGTGCAGGTCGAGGGACTGGAAGGCGAGGTAGAGGAGCAGGCCGACGAGGGAGGGAACGAAGGAGTAGAGGAAGTTTGCGGGGGAGAAGGCGCCGGGGCCGGGGGCGGCGGGGAGGCGGGGGTCGAAGCCGTTGACGAGGGCGGTGGCGTGGAGGAAGGAGACGACGTAGAGGGCGGCGAGGAGGACGGTGGCGGCGACGACGAAGAAGAGGACGGGGGAGGTGCGCAGGCACCAGGGGAGGTAGAAGGTGCGGATGTAGTCGTCGCCGTGGCCGTCGACGATGAGGTTGGAGGTGATGGAGCGGCGGTCGGACTCGTTCTTGGTGTCGTAGTGCAGGTCGTGGGGCAGCTGGCCCTGGGAGTGCTCGGTGCCGAGGCCGTACCAGGGGGCCTCGTTGGAGTTGGTGTTGTTGCTGGAGTCGGTCATCCAGTAGCCGAGGCGGTCGACCATGCGGTTGCGGAGGATGTGGCGGAGGTGGGCGCGGTCCTCGGCGACCTCGGAGCCGCGGTAGGAGTCGCGGGTGTTTGACTTGCTGATCATGAAGGAGAAGTCGGCGATGGAGCGGGGGTCCCACATGAGGCCGGTGACGCGGTTGCGCCAGTAGAGGGCGAGGAGGAGGAGGGCGGTGATGACGAGGAAGTAGAGGCCGACGAGAGCCCAGATGGTGCCCTGGACGGCGGTCCAGTACCAGACCTCGGTGTGGATCACGGTGAAGGAGGCGCTGGCGAGGGGGATGGTGAAGGCGGAGAGCCAGAGGATGGCCAGCGCGATCTTGACGTGGACGGGCCCGGCGAGCTGGGGGAGGAGGAAGGTCTTGGGGTAGAGGTTCTGGAAGAGGGCGTTGCGGCGCTTCAGGGGCTCGTCTTCGGCCATGGCGGCGAACGGGAGGATGCGCAGGGTGGCGGCCGTCACGCACTGGGCGTAGACGAAGATGACGGTGGCAAAGAGTTGGGGGAGGATGCGGAAGAGGAAGTACTTTGCGCTGTAGATGGTCTCGCCGTAGGTGAGCAGGCCGGGCTGGATCGGGGAGTAGATGGCTGCGAGCATGAGGGCGGCGATCATCAGGATGCAGAGGACCATGAGCACGATCATCGACGGGAGCCGCAAGATTGCGGGCTTGTAGGTGAGACGGGGATACAATTCGCGAGACTCGTCAACAGTATCCAGCTTGGTCATACCCGGGAACACCGACTCCTTCTCGCTGATAGGCAGCCACTTCAACGACGGCTCTGCGCCGAGCAGCCTCTGGTCCTCGCTCGGGCGGTACCGGGAGTCGGCGGACTGCGGCGGCGACATGATGCGGGTGCCGAGGGACATGCGACCGGGCTGCTGCTGCTGGGACGGGGGGCGCTGCATCGAGTTGCGGGTGAGGGCCGGGGCCATGGGCTGGAAGCCGGTGTCAGGGTCGCCGCTGATCTGGGGGCTCTGGTCCTGGAGGTCGTCCGGGAGGTAGCCGGCGGCGCGATAGTAGCCGTTGCTGTTGTGGTTGTTGTTGTCGGTGGGGGACGGCACGCTGGACGGGGGCGAGAAGTTGTGGCCGTGCTCGCGGGTGAGGGCCTCGAGGGCGTACTGGATATAAGGGGTGTCGTCGACGCCCGGGGTGACGGAGCCGTTGGCGGCGATGGTGAGCTCGTCGCGGAAGCCCTTTGCCCGGGTGCGGTTGGTGACCTCGTCCATGGCGAGCTGGGCCTCGTTGAAGCGGACGGCCGGCTGGGAGGTGTAGGGGTCTTGGTTGTTGGTGAACATGTTGCTGCTCATAACCACCGGGGCGGGAAACTGCTGCTGCTCTGGAGGACGGCTGAAGTTTTGGAGATGGGCGGGCGGCCGTTGCTGAGATGGGGGCGATGGCGCGTGAGGGACGAAGGAGGGCGGCGGCGAGAGGGTTTCTTGGGGGCTGGAGTCTTCTTCCTCTACGCTCTCATAATGCCTTCCCGTCGCGTGGTGAGGGCGCAGAGTGTTTGGCGTGGATGATTGTTGTGAGGGTGTCCTGGCAGACCAGTATTGTGGCGGGTAGTGGCCGCCTGTGAGGTTGTCGTCAGTATTAAGAACAGGGATGCGTGGTGTTGGTTGTGGTGGTTGGCGAAGGAGAGTGAGAAGAGTAGGATATAGGTAGGGAAGTGAAGGAGAGAAGATGAAGGTTAGAGGTGTATGGGAGATGTAGACATACGGTGGTTTTGTTGCATGAATGGCCTCGCCTCGGGGTGGGCGTTATTATCTCGAGAATTATACATATCGTCGTTCATGGGGAGTCTAGCAGATGCGTCTGATGAGCCTCCACTTGGAACGAAGCAACGAGCCAATTACCAGCGACAGAGGCGAAAGAAATTGGTGTGATGGAATGGGGGTGTTTGCATGATGCAGGCAGAAAAAGAGGAGGGGAAGGGGGCGCAATGCATCGTGGTTGGGTCATGTTGTGGTTTTGGTCGCGGAATTGCAAGTGGTTGGGGAGAGTTCGTCGTCGAGCATCACGACTCTCGAGTGGTGGTTTGTCCCCTCAGTCTGGTCGAGGTGGCTGGAGACCGGGGTGGCGTTGCATCCCAGCCACCGAAAACCCCCAAAACTCTGCGAATCCGCCGGGGACCCTTGCGGCTGTGGCTCTGGCCCCGCGGCCGCTAGCCTGTAGCGTCCGGGGACGCAGGTACCAGAAGGGCAAGAAGAGGACCGGGAACAGGGGCACTCACCTCGATTTGTCGGAGCATCAAAGAAACTCACACAAAGAAGGAAAATCAAGGACAAAAGGCCTCGTCTCAGTTTGATCACAGAGACTCGAAGAGAGGAAGAAATGGAACGCAAAAGACGTTGGCCGTGGTGGCAGCCGTTCGTCCCGTCTTTGTATTGTGCAACGGGCCACCAGCAGCCAATCCGGAGAGGATACGAGGACAACATGCTGCAAGTCCAGCTGTCCTGCAGCTCTCTCCCAACCTAAAAAAAAAAAAAAAAAAAAAAAAAAAATAAGAAAAAAATACCTGCCTTGCTTTACCTTACCTTATGCCTAACACACCCAACACCGCCAGATGCTCTTTTCCCTCGGTGAAACAAATCCTTCAATGTGTCCCCTGCCCTGCTGTGCTGTGTCTGTGCCTGACGCTTGACGACAGCGGCGGCACCATCAGCACCTCAGCAGCAGCACCGACGGATTGCCCCACCAACGGAAGCAGGTCCCCACACCCGCTGCCACGCTCGGTGCGAGGCCTCGGCGGAGGGGCACCATTCAAAGTGTTTTTTCAGTGGCTGGGATGCAGGGGCACCGGCCCCACCCTGCGCCAGAGCACTGGAATCGCCGACCCCGGTGATGTGATGTGATGCGATGTCATGTCCGTCCCTCCTTCTATCCGTACATGAAGTTGTTGCCCCTCGTTTGCCCTGATTGTGAAACCTGCGCGACGATAACGAGAGAAAACATCATCGGCCGTGACTCTTGAGTCCTGTCGTCTGACGCGGCTATCAGGCACGCACCCCTGGTTGTCTGAGTTTGACAGCACCGCCAGATTGGGTTCGTCTGTACTACTCGCATGCGAGGCGGGCGGGAGCAGAAGAAACAATCGACATTTGAGGCTGAGGCTCACCGCCAACGAGACCGTACAACATCAGACGACAGCTCTGGCGGTCTGCACCGCGTTGCTCTAGTGAGCAGTCTCGAGCCTAGGACTCGCATCATGGACATCGAACCCCTCATCTGTGATTTTGTTCATTATCCCGAGCTATCAACTGTCACTCCCCCACCTCTCTCGTGGTCTCCAACACGAGGGGCCATTGTCCCAGACCCGCGGCTCATGCACGCTCACCGAGGGTCAATAACCCATTTCTATCCTCATTCAGCCCCCCTCTGAAGAGAAGCCCAGGGCCCTCGTCGTCTTCGGGCTGTTTTTGGCGTTGCTGCCCATCCACATTCCCCATGTGGACCTTGTCGCCAGTGGATATCACGAGGGTCCAGTAAATCAATAGGGCTACGCGAGTGCATCCCCAAATGTCCCCCACCATCGCCCACAACTCATCACGAATTCTCCATTTGTAACCAACCTATTGTCGGCCATTTCTCAAGCAACACAGCTTCAAAGCGGGTCGGTTAGCTCAGTTGGTTAGAGCGTGGTACTAATATATCATCTTGATATGTTCTGTAATGCCAAGGCCGGGAGTTCAAGCCTCCCACTGATCATTCCTTTTTGCTTTCTCCGGGGTAGAACTATCTATTTTGCTTCATGAAGCCATCGCGACTTCACTTTCAGGCAGTGGGTCCTCTCCAAAGAGGTGCATGAGGTGTCAGCTCAGGCGGTCAGCAGACTGTATGCAACCTGCCTCACTTGTCTCATACATAACGCAATCGACACCGAGACCGTAGACGTTGGGCAGTGCCGAGTAAATAGTGCCCTAGGACCAGCAGCCGGGGATCCCGGCCAAGTGCTTGCAGAGGGATTCAATGATGTAGACGGCAATGTCCTTGGTACATATCGCAGCACTTCTGTGGAACGGCTTAACACTTGGTTGTGACAGCAGACTTGATTTGGCCCAGGGTGTGGGGAGGGGGGTTAAGCGTATTTGCGAGGAGGTGTACTGCCATTGGATGTGCGGATGCCTCACATCATTTTCGGTCTTCTTTCGCACCACTCGACGTTGAATACCTCTCGATTACCGGCAAACGGCCTGACAGCATGGGAGCACCTCCGTCAGTGTGGCGCCCAACCGCGAGCCATAATCCAAATCGCGAAGTTTCGCGATTCCATCTTACTGGGCAGTTGCGATAGAAGCGGGTCACTCGAATGATACCTCGCATGTGTTGTTGTATCATGTCGAAACCGAGCTTCAGCTTTGATTCCCTTTATAAATGTCGACTTGTGTCCGGTAGAATTTCAAGTGAAATGAACTGCGACGTTTCCACTTCCACCACAAGACATAATGTCGAATACGCAAGTGCACCAAGGGCGGTTCAGGAGACTAGTCAACCGTCAAAAGCCCATCCAGCTGTTCAATTTCATCAAAGTCAAGGTTCTCCGGCTCAGACATCGGCACGGAAAACCGTTCGGAACATCTCCTACATCTGCTCAAGATTCTGCGGGTCACAGCCCGGTGTTTGTTGACCAAAACATCCCGAGGACTCGCAACACGAAACACGAAACACGACTTAACTTCTCTGGACGATAGTGAGGCGAACAATGAACAACAAGGTCACGACAGGCTATCGAAGCCAACGGCTAGCCAACCATATTCCAGCAAGAACATCCACGAGCTCATCGAATTCGCTGGATTGAAAGCGGCTTCCATCCAAGGTTGTATTGGCACTGCATCTCCGAAAGACGCACCCTTCTTGGAATTCCAGCTCGTGTTCGGGGCCGGCTCTCCAAGTAGCAACATACACTGCTACAGAGCTAGGGCCCCGAGGCAAGTTGGTCACACCAACGCTTGGGAATATGCAAACGACAGCGATTTGTGGTCTCCTGAAGAGCAGCCGCTGAAGCGTTCGGACCGCAATACTCTGCGACCGGCTGATCGTGCTCTTGCTTGTCCTTACCTCATGCAAGACCCCACAACATAAGAAAGTCGCCAAGGGTGTCGCGGTGCTGCATTTCACGATGTGTCCAGATTCAAGTACGCAGTGGTTATTTTGATAGCCCCTCCTTTTCTGAAAGTTATCTAGCAAATTGGCGCTGACTGTGACAATCACCCTAGAGAACATCTTTACAGATGCCACAGACAGAAGCCGCATTGCACAAAGTGTGGTGAGCCATTTGTCGACGAAGCCAGTCAAGCAAACCATGAAGTTTGTTCGTCAGACTTTGTTGACTCCGTTTCGGAAAGGTTTCTGCAAGAGTTCAAAGGATTCAACAAGGAACAAGAGGCAAAGCTCAAAGACAAGAAAAGGAAGCGTGGTGGTTCAAAAGTGGCGAAATGGAAAGACATCTTCGACATTCTCTTCCCGGACGCCATTGAGGTACCTTGTCCTTGTAAGTTCCATCTCGCGCAAGCTTCGTTGCATGTGTGCTAACTGAAGCAAGACTACAAGACACCAGCTTTTCAGCAATTCCAAGACAGTGCTATTGAACGACGCGACACGATGCACGACTTAATCAACAATCTATTCAAAAATCATGTGTCAGGCAGCATAGCACGTTCTCAGGTGGAAAAGATGAAGGGCCCCATGACCGAGGAAGACTGGAGCAAAATGAAGGAAATCTTCCGGAGTTTTGTGCTCAGTGACGTCAAGGCCTCGCGAACGACAGCCGCAGGTGACATGAACCAAGGTTTTTCCAAATCAACTGAAGCCATCGAGAGCCAGATCTCTGTGTGCGGTTCGTCAAAATCCTCAACTTCTCACCAAGTTCCTCGTGCAAAGCGGGATGCGCGACCGAGCAACATGGGGGATGCCGATCACCAGAATAATCCATGTACCGTACTAAACCTAGATCATCATCGAACGGAAGCCCCCGACAACAGTCAAGAACCGGATTTAGCGGATACCTTGCCTAGCAATGGCATAGACCTTTGGCTAGCGGACGTTGGAGATGTGCTCGGGGTCTCAAATCGACGAAGTTCACCGTTTCAACCCGACCAAGCGGGCACATCCAGTAAACCACAACCAGCACATCAATCAAGCCAGCCTAGTCAACCAAGCCAGCCAAGCCCACCGAGTAGATCTTGCCCAGCAAATCAATCTAACCGGTCTAGTCGACAAAGCGAACCAACTCAGAGCGGGACAAGTGCCGACAAGGTCAATTCTGCCCGTGAAGTTCCTTCATCTACCCAGGAAGCTGCAGAAGATGCAATTCATACACATCAGGAAGCTACTGCCGAGACTTGTGAAGAAACGGTCTTCAACAACCTCAACCTCACTCCTGAAGAGTGTCTGGCGGCAGCCCTACAACAGAAGACACCTTGGCGAGGACCAGAATACGACTCGTCTCATGACTGAGGTCATGTACACAAGCTAAGAAGACACCCATCCTTGGAGGATAAGTCAATACACAAGTCGGAGAAGTTCGATAGTTACCCTTGCTCTTTCAGAAAAACTTTAGATTCGTCAGACTGAGGTCGACAAGCCATTGAGTGTACCTGATATCCATTCTTTGCTTGATATTTACATCAGAAGTAACAGAATCATGTGACGGTTGAATGGCTTGAAGGCTTAAATGAAGCTTACCCTACTGTCTTGTAATCCAAAGTGAGCCAACGACAAAAACGACCCTCATTCTGACATGCTGTTCTTCATATCGTTCAGCCGTCATTAAAAGCCCCATAACATGATGCCCGCGCCTCTTCATCCGTCCACCCCACACATCTCCAGCAGCTCAACAACCCGTCCGGATCAACTATCCTCTTGACTTCCAACAACCTCCCGTAGTTCTCCCCAAACATGACTTCTTCCCACTCACTCATGAACGGGTTAGCCTCGTTCATATACGAGAACCCGCCCGGCGTAACCTCCCGCTGCCTCTCCGTATTCGCCTGCATCTGCCTCACGACCCCCACCCGCTCCTCCAACGTGCTGTTCCACTCCCAAAGCGACGGTTGTCCAACGATCCACAGCGAGTCATACCAGCCCGGATGCACTGCAGACGGGTTGAGTGCGTCGGGGCGGAAGAGATAGGGCGAGTCGACGGGGATGTATGGCGACCCGCCCTGTTCGATGATCTCACGCAAGAAGCCCTTGAGTCCGACGCGGAGGGTGTCGTTGGTGAAGATTGCGACGGGCACGAGGCGGGTGTTGATCAGCCTGAGGTTGCCGACGGCGACGGAGTCGGCGAGGACGTGGTCGGTGAAGAAGCTCAGCCAGTTCGGCGCGATGGTGATGTTGACGTGCCCGCCATGCGCATCCGCAAAGACGATGAGTTTCGACAGAGACGCCTCCGCATCCTCGACGGTAGTCATGAGCGGGGAGACGTGCACGAGGGAGTTGCCGTATATGTGCCCGCCCCAACCGTCCTCGGCAAGAGCCACTGCGGTGTCGACGAGCAGATCCATCCACCCGCCATACGCCTCCTTGTCATCCGGGGGAATGCCGATGTCCGCGACGGCCATGGGCACCACCGGCTCGACAACATGGCTTGACTCCAGAACGACGCCGAAGGTACCTCCGCCTCCGCCCCGGAGTGCCCAAAACAGCTCTGTGTTCTGACAGCGGTTGGCCATCCGCGTAGTGCCGTCAGGCGTGACGACGGTGGACTGGATAACACGATCGACACCAAGACCATAGACATTTGACAGCACCGAGTGACCGGCACCCTGGACCCAGCCGCCGGATATCCCCACGGTCGGTGAGTATCCGCCGAGGATGGTCCGGCCGACTGTGTCCGCGAACTCGTAAGCCTCGGCGGAGCTGACGCCGGCGCCAGTAGTGATGACGTCGAAAGATTGCTCGTCGGGACACCCTTCCGGGATGAAGTCAGGTTCATGGCGCACTTGCCGCAGGTTTCGCGTCCAGAGAAGTAGAGAGCCCTTCATGCTGCTGTCCAACACAAAGCTGTGCCCACTGTTCTTGATGGACAACTTCCCACCAGTCTTGCGAGCCCAGTCAAACGCCTCGACGACGTCCTCGGCTTCCCTCACCTCAAGCCACCATGAAGGCAGGTTGCCCAGCCTGCAGTCGACGCCATCCCATGCGCCGGGATTGAAAGGGTCCGCGGTGTTGAGAACACACTGCTCCTGCGATAGGGGGTCGGAGGCGCAGATGGTGGATTGTTCGTACATGTAGGCGGCAGGGACGCTGCTCCGGTAGATCGGTGAGTGGTAATTCTCCTGGCGCTCCGCGCATAGCGATTCATTCCGTAGCCTGGCGGCGCCTTGGAATGAGGTGAAGCAAGCGAGGGCGAAGGGCTCGGCGTTGTGCACGCGGCCGCCTAAAGTATCGTTCAGAGTATCGATGCCATCGGTAAGTTCGGAATGGCTAAGAAGTACCGCGGCAGAAACTGTCTTGTACGACACCAACAAGCCATACAGCAATAATGAACACGAGATTTGCATGATGATAGAAACGATTAGGTCGGCACGGCCTCCCAGGATGTCACGATAATGCTTCATCTATCCGGCCATCCGGCGTACTTGGACAGACGAGCTCTCGTCAAGCTACTCCGAATTTTTGAATGAGACCGTCCCCGCTTCTTTGCCTCGTCGTCACTGTGACCCTAGAAGATGCAGTATGCAGCTTGATAGCCAACCAGGAGTGCCGCGCCCAGGAGGGTTCACTTCTGCGCTGACCTTGAAATGCAGTCCCGTCAATTCTGGATGTTCAACATCGGTACTGCGTCTCTCATCGCCAATCATCCATTCTGGGCCAACAGACCTATTTGTTGACGATGAAAATGTTGAAATTCAGTTGAGATCTTATCACGGCTCCGCGCCAGCGAAGTATCGTAATGGTACTCTGCGACCTCCAAGCATTGAAAATATCTATGCTGCACGGTGTAGAACACTGGTCTTGCGTTTGGCTCGTTCTAGCCCACTGTCTTAGCGGCGTAGTCGCGGAATTACCTTCCTCTGACCATGTGAATTAAGCAATCTGTGATCTAATACCGTTTTCTGGCCTCATGGCGAACCACCTGTTGTTCAGTTGCTACTGTCCGCCTTGTTAGTGCCTAAAAGCAATTCTCACTCATTTGCGTTTGCCTTACCTAAAACCCCTGTTAGTGCGCGATTTATTGCCCCTCTATGCCACTTTTTGCTATTAATAATAACACTATTAATATTAATTAATATGTTTTTAATATAATTTAAGCTTTTTAATACTATTTAGAGCGTAATATAAGTATAATTTTATAACATAAAAGTAAAATAATAATAATTTAAATTTTATATAACTAATATAATTATTAAAGTTAGTAGTAATATATAAATATATAAATATCGTTTTAAAGCTAGAATTTCTACTAATAAAGCTAGTGATAAGAAAATCTTTTTTATTTATATTAGTTTTCTAAGAAGAAGATTATAAGAGAGAGCTTATATTATATTAATTCTAATTTAATCTAAAATATATTATTTATAATGAAATAATTATAATAAAAAGTTTTAGCTAATTATAAAAAGGTTAGCTAAATCTCCTATTAGCTTTAAAAAAAGTAAGATAGACCTAATTAAGAGGAGTAATAATAATTTTAACTTTGAAAATAAAATGAATATAATAAGAAGAAAGTTTTATATTAATAGTAATATATATAAACCTATAATTGAAGTTATTACTTAATAGCTTTAGTTATAAATAAACTTTATAGATAAGTAATATAACTTATTAATACTAAAAGTAATAGATAATAATACTAATAAATTTAAAAAAGATATAATAGCTAGAAATTAATAATATTAAAGCTATTATTAAAGCTACTACTAAAGTTATTATTAAAACTGCTATAAAGCTACTAATTAATCTTATTACTAAAGAGGATAACTTATTTAATAAATATTTATTACTACTTCTATTATAACTATTACTATTATTACTACTTCTTATAGAACTTTAAGTTTATATAGAGATTAAAATTTCTAAGAATAATATTAAGATATAGCTAGATATCAAAGTTAGAGAGATTAAATAAGAGAATATAAATAACTAAACTAAATATATTATTTATAATATAATTAGAAATTTCTACTATAAATATACTTTTTAATATTATAATTACTTTTTTGTATTTAACTCTATTTAAGTTACTTTTTTCTTTAGTTTAAATTATTAAATTATATTCTCTAAAGAGGTATTTTATATTAACTACTAAAAGTTTAATAACTAAAACTTATAGCTATTTAAATATTAAGGATAAATTAGTAATACTATTAAGAATAATAAAAAGAAAAACAAGTTATTATAAGTTAAGATTATTACTTTTATTATATTAAAACTACTTAATTAATATATATTAATCTCTATAAGCTATTATTATAAGTCTTAATAGTTATCTCTAATACTATCTAGTATAAGTTCTATTTAAATAACCCCCTTAATTAGAATAATACTATTTTAAAACTTTATTAAGATATTTTAATAACTTAATATAACTTTATAAACTTTATATTAAAATAATAACTTTATTAAGTTTATTCTTATTAAGCTTAGTAATATTAGTAAACTATTATATTAATAGAAGTAATAAAGTAATTTATTATTCACTAGTAGGTTATAATAAAAAAAAAAACCTAAGATATATATTAAGCGATTTAAGCCCTCTATAAATATAAATTAAAAGTTAGATACTTTAATAATTATAATATTATTATTAGTAACTACTATATTAATTATCTTTTTATTTTATTAAGTTTAGTTATTTATCTGTAGATCTATAAATAATATATTATAACTTAAATAGAAGTTATAACTAATAGAGAAATAACTATTAATAAGTTTCTAGAAAATACTATTATTAATATAACTTTGTACTATAATAAGTACTTTTATAAGAGTAAATCTAAACTTTAAAGTAAAGTTATACTGAACGTAAATAGTAGTAGAAGTAATAAAAATAATATTAATGAGCTTAATTTACTTTCTTTAGTTTCTATATTACAAACTAAATTAATATATTATTATTATTACTATTCTATAACTTTATACTACTAATTTATCCTTATTATAAGTACTATACTTTTATTTAGTTATTATTATTAATACTATTATTAATAAAACTACTATTAATACTACTACATACTAGAAAATAGGATTCATTAATTTAATCCTTTTCTCTACTTATTCCTTAGATTAAGCTTATATTATAACTTCTTTATAAATATCTAAAATATCTATAAAGAATAAAAAGGATTCAAATTACTAAATAAGATATTAATCTCTTTACTACTCTTAATAGTGTTCTATAAACTTATTTCTAACTTAAATCCCTTTAAAAAATACTAACTAATTAGTTTAATAAGAATAATATCCTTATAAGTATTATAGAAATAATTAGAAGTAAAATTAAATAATTCCTAATTAAATAAAATATTGTAGATTTAATAACTAACTATAGTTTATACTTACCCCTTTATAATATTAAAAACAATAGATTTTTAAGTAGATAATATAATACTTTTAGATAGTATAATACTTCTAGCTAATATTATTAAATAAAACCTTTAAATTAAAGTAACTAATAATATTTATTCTCTTATTATTTCTCTTACTTAATTACCTAATCATAATAATAATAGTAAGCTTTAATAAATAAAAAGAGGTTTTTTCTTATTTCTTTATATAAATATAAAGATCTTAACTTTAATAACTAATAGTAATTAATTTAATAAATAAGATATGCTTTTAATACTACAGCTAAAAAGAAATACATTATAATTAATGCGTTATAAAGCTAACTAACTATTAAGATTAAAGTATTTTATTTTATATTAATATTATATTCTTTTAAGTAAAAAAGCCTTTAATAATATTAAAGTTAAATATAACTATAACGTAAATGATAAGCAAGCCAAACAGACAAGCGAGCTGAACACCCAACCGCAACCACAGCATCTTCTTACTTCTACCACACGTCAATCCCATAATAATAATGGCATCAACATAAAAAGAAGCTTAAGTGGTCCTAGCAGTCCAAGATATCAAAAACACACTAAGTCTCAGTATCTGAGAGGCTGCCTGGATCTACTCCGTCCCAGTTATAACGTTATACGATCGATTGAAGGGGAGATCATCACAACGCGACACCACGCCTAACTCGCGGAAATTGACTACGCTTGAAGAAGAAAAGCTTGTTGAGTATATTCTCAACCTGGATTCCTAATCGTTTCCTCCTCGGATTAGTGGTGTTGAAGATATGGCTAATCGACTGCTTGCCGACTGCGACGCGCCCCCAGTTAGGAAGCACTAGGCTTCAAACTTTATTAAGCGACAACTATAGCTCCAGACGCGCTTTTTTCGTAAGTACGACTATAAGAGGGCCTAATGCGAAGATCCAGACGTAATAAACATATGGTTTCATCTTATAGCAAATATAATTGCAAAATATAGCATTATGGACTCTGATATCTATAACTTTAATAAGACTAGGTTTATAATAGGCCAGATTGCATCTGGGATGGTTGTCATAAGTGCTGAAAGGCGTTTAAATATAAAAATAATGCAGCCTAGCAATTATGAATAGGTTACAGTTATTCAGGCTATCAGTTCGTCAGGCTACAGCGTTCCGCTATATGTTATTATTGCAGGCTAATATCACCTCTCCACCTGGTATACTGAAACTAATCTACTATGCAACTAAGTTATTATAATATCTAAAAATAGATAGATAATAAACAAAAGAGGCCTAGATTAGCTCCAGCACTTTGATCAGCATATAAAACTGCATGCAAGTGGCAGATATCACCTCCTTATTATTAATAGTCATAAAAGTCAGCATGCAGCTGACTTCAAGATATATTGCAAGGAAAACAACATTATTACACTTTATATGCCAGCTTATTCCTCTTATTTACTTCAGCCCTTAGATGTTAGGTGTTTTAGGCTACTGAAGAAGGCTTACAGCTGAGAAATTGAGGAAAAGATGCAACAGGGTGATACCTATATCATAAAGGAGGACTTCTTCCCTACGTTTTACAGAGCATTAACAAAAGCAATTACAGAAAAAAACATTCAGGGAGGATTTAGAGGGGTTAGGCTTATGCCTTTAAGTGCAGAGAGTATGCTATCTAAGCTTAATATAAAGTTACACACTCTAACGCCTCTAGGGTCTCTCCTAACAACACCCCCTGCGTGGACTTCTCAGACGCTAAACAACCTAACAGAGGCGTCTTCTCAGTCTAAACTTATTAAGAATTAAATCTCACGCTATCAAAATAGCTCACCAACTTCAATTATTGAGGCTGTTAAGCATTTATCAAAGGGGGCGCGTGGATTTATGCATAAGATTGCCTTATTGAGGTCTGAGGTCCAGATACTTCAGGAAGAGAATAACCTACTTAGCCGACATAGGAGGACTAAGAAAACACGTCTTAGATAAGGAGGAAGTCTTACTGTAGCTGAGGCAGAG